GCCTTAGTTTCTCTGACATACCTAAATGAGACATCATTTCAGAGCAGTGAGACCAAACTGGAACTTCTGGTTGGAGATGGTCCTGGAAATCCAGAGGTCTGTGGCTGAGCACTTTGGATTATGGGCAGGAAATTCTTCAGACATTAAGCTGAGTTCATTTGCATTCACTGGTTCATTCACTTTGCTGCATACCTTTCAGGACCTGAATTGTACTTTACATGTGGAGGAGATCATAGAAAAGGGGAAAATACCTTTCTCCCCTCAAGAAGGTTTTAGTTTATAGTGAATCAGACCATTGCAGCACAATAATTGCAGTGGTTTTAAGCTTTTAAACACAGACAGTACAATAACAGTGTATAAAAGCAGTACATCTGTCTGAGGACAATTCAAAACTGAGATATGGAAGAAAGTATAGGTTTTTTGGCAAACACATAAGGGGTAGTGTCTGGAAAAAGGCATTATTACCATCCGGAAGAAAAATCAAGCAGATGGAATAATAAAGAAATGGGGGACAGAGGAGAGTCCTGGGCTATTTGGGGAGGTACAGGTAAGAAGCATTTGATGTGTTGTTAGGGGACGGAGCCAGGAAAGAGTGGGTGGGGAGAAAGGGCAATTTAATCTAGACCTTGTCATGGTTACTTTTCTCTCATTGCTGAGACAAAATACCCGATACCCAAAGTCAAAGGGGGAAAGGTTTATTTAGTTCAGAGCCTGTAGAGGTTTTAGTCTATAATCAGCTGAGTATAAGGCAGGGTGGATTGGCAGAGGGCCGTTGCAGAAGAGAAGTTTATGGCAAGCAGAAGACAATAAAAGCAAGCAAGCAATGGACCTTAACTGTATCTCTCTGTTCCTTTTATGCAGTTTAGGGCAGGTAGCACTCGCATCCTTCATCCTAGTGCCCCTGAGCATTGCACCATGAATCCATTCCAGCAGCACACACACTAGATTCCAGCCACCTCCTCTGAAAAAGCTCCACCTGTGACCACATGAGGCTTTGGGGAGACATCTAAACACAGCCGTAACAGATTGTATGTGGCGTTGTGGGATTTATCTTACTGAGTATGAGAAGTTAATTGAAGAATTTTGAGGAAGAGAGTGATGACAATTTCACACATATTTGGGGAACAACTTCAGTATGAATCAAAGGCGGAAAAGAAATGAGCATATTATTTAGGAGATTATTTCAGTAGTGCAAACAAGGGATGGTGAAACAGACTCTAATAGTCATGGGATTATAGGAGAAGGATAGGGACTTGAGATTCACATGAAGGTAGGAGCCACAGGACTGGGCTTTTGTTAAATGTGGGAGGAAATGGAAGAAAACTAAGCGTGGAATGTGGCTTTAATTTATTGAGCTTTTACAATGTGCTGATACTTTACAGAAATTACTGCATTTAATCACCATGCCCGCTTAATGAAGTAGATCATATTATTGTCTGATTTTATAGATGGGCTATCAACTCTTGGAAGCTAAGTAGTGTACCCAAGACAATAACTAATAAAGTAGTGAGCTGGGATTCCAGTGCCAGCGACTGGATCAAGAACCTGTGCCTTTTCGAATGATGAAAGATGCAGAGTGGGGAGAAACCTTGTAAGAGAAGGGAATAACTAAGTGCCGGGAAGGCAGAGGCCACTCTTTTCTCATTTATTGTAATACTGTATATTACTATATAATTATAAAACTAGTTCATGTTACCTTTTTTATTAAAAAGTCAGCTGATAATTCACCTGGTAATATTACCTTGAGTCAGCTTAAAGATCAGCAGTTTTGAGAGTTGAAAATATTTGCACTAATGAAAGCCTTAAATGCTTGGGTTTTTGTTGATTTGTTTGCTCACATGGTAGTTACAACCAGCACTAGGGCAATGAAGAATTTTACCAGTTTTATCAGTGAGGATAGATGAAGAACCTTATCTAATTACAAGCTAAAAATCAACAGTTTGGCTTCTTTTGTGATTAAGAGCAAAGACAAGAAACTTGAATACACACATCACTACCACATAGGCACTGTCTTCACAGTGACTAATATTATTCCCTATGTTCAAATGGTCCCGTTCTTGGGGTTTAAGACTCTATCTGAGGTCTTTAAACTCTCCCTAGTTTTATATTTGAATTTGTGGAGATAAAATGCAGTGGGGCAAGGAACACGTTCCATGCCCTTGGAGCGTCAGGTCATGTGAAGTCCCTTCAACCGTCTGCCTCCTGGCGTGAGTTGTTAGCCGTCAGCCCTCTGGTCCCCTGAGCTTCCCTCTAGCTGCCTTCTCCATCTCCCTGTCTCCCATCACCACTGCTAGCCTCCACCTGAGATTGGGTTGTGTCAGGAGGAGAGGTGTACACTATCTTCAGCTTCCTCCCAAGATGGAATGTGGAAACAGGCTCGAAAATATTGAGAATGGTGCAAATACCCTACTGTGTCATGGGGGGCAAGACAGAGGTTACTGCTGACAAAGTGGCACACTGGGTGGACCATCCAGTGGCAACTTCCTCATCCCCCGTTCGTGTACCAAGTGCTTTCCAACTACACAGAAATTGTAAGACTCCTGACGTGTAAGAAGGGGAGATTGACTGGGGCTGGGGATTTAGCTCAGTGGCACTGTGCCTGCCTCGCAAGTGCAATGTCATGAGTTCGATCCCTGGTACCAAGAAAAAAAGGTGGAGGGATATTGACTCTACTACTCTCCTTTTCATTTTGCAGTTGACACCAAAGATTATGTAGATGGCTTTGTCTCCACGATCTCTCAGCTAAGTTTGTACATAATGAATGCATAGAGTGAACTTTGTTAAATATTATGTAGCAGATGCTATAAATGTCTGTCATAATCATAATGCATTGCTTTAGATAGTCCATTGCTTCAGAACTTAAAAAGAAAAAGCATAAAGGTAGAGCATAAAGTGAAAATGTTTGAGAACCCGATTAACACTTAGGTATTTTAGTCATGGTTAACAAACTCATTAAAAAAGAATCACTAGCAAATTATCATGTAGAGTCTTATTTCAGTTTTTGTAATGAAGAATAATTGTGTAGTAAGGGAGACAGCATAGGTGAAAGTTGCATTAACTGAGTATAGATTGCTAAATCATGCACAAAATGAGAAAGTTTGGTTTTTCCTTAAAACCCAAACAAGCCAAATTTCATTGAGAAGCACACATGACTTCAGTGAAATTAGACAGTTTGAGTTTAAAAATAAACAGCATGCTATAGTGGTTGCCAGAAGTACTTATATGATTTTGATACTTAGTTTTATGGGCAAGGAGAATAATAGCCTTCTTTTAGCATTTAACTGTGGCATGAACGGTACTCTCTTTAATATACCGATTGACGCTTCCTGACCTCCAACATTATGGAAAAATATTAGCATGCAATATATCAAAATCGTTACTTAAATTTACTACTTTTAAAAGATAAATTAAAATGGGAGTTCACCCTTTCAGTACACCCCAATCCCAGCTATCCATAACTATCCAAAATTTAGGTCACCCAGATTTTTCTGAAATTCTAACTCATTAATTAAAAAACAAAGGCTTTGTATCTTGGCAACATATTCAGTAAAATTAAACTAACAACCTGTAGAAAAACTAAAATTAACTAGCTTTCTGTTTGCATTAAAAAGAATGATAATGTTCAACAGCCTACCACAATAAAGGTCAAAATACATTCTCTTTTATGTATAAATTAATGCCATAAGTCCAACTTCTCACTCTCATTTCAGTTATGTCCTGACTTGTGAACTACTCTTTTGTCCTGACTTGTGAATGATTCTTTTGTGTGTCCAGTAAACTTCTACAATTTAAAATTTGATATGATTTTATTTTTGATGACATAAACTTCTTAAGCCTCTAAGTAACTGTGCTGACTTTTATACTTATGGTTATATTGTGTATAACTCTCGCAAATTGAATGCTGTTAATATTGCAATACACAGTATGAGAGGCCAAAAAGTGCACCCCCTGCCCTAAACTTTCCTTTTTTGGTTGCACCGAGGGTGATCATCAGCACCAATATTATTGAGAGCCCTCTTTGTTCAATGACCAATGAGCTGGCAGCATTCTCTGAATGCAGCTAGCCTACACAGGTGAGGACCACACCACCCTCCTCTACTGAAACCTAACGAGCAATTTCATGTTCAGCCAATAACTCCTGTCTGCCAGCCAACGTACGAAGAAGTAGCTTTGTCTCCCTTCTTCCCAGCTTTCCCAATGTCTTTTGAGAGGGCTGGATTGAAAGCTATGCTTGATGCCTGTCTTATTCTGGGTTTTCTTGGGTGAAAATACAATGGTAGACGGGTAGTGAAGCTCACCCTTGCCCCTTCACATTCCTGGTTTCATCCCAACATTGACCAATGTTATACAATGGGTTATCAGAATATACTGTGAAGGTTTAAATGAAAAAAAAATTACAGTAAAAGACCTACTGCCATGAATCCTGCTCAGAGTTCTCCCCCTCGCTTTTCTTTCTTTTTGGGGTACCAGGGATTGAACTCAGGTCCTTGCGCGTGATAGGCAGGCACGGTGCCACTGAGCGAAATCCCTGGCCCTCTCCCCCTCACTTTGATCACACTGATCCTACCATTCTTGCTACTTTTGAAGCTACTTTGTCTTCTTTCATATCAAACATAGCAAGGAGTAGCCTGAGTTCCATCCATCAGAATAGCAGGCTCATAAAAACATGACAGATACTCTCATCCACCTCATTCACCAGATCTGCCACTGTGTGACTTTTGGCTCTTCCCCAAAGCCAAAATGGCCATGAAAGTTAAACAGTTTGGATTGACTGAGGGCATCAAGGCAATCATGAAAACATGACCAATTTCATGAAAGAGGCCTTCCAGAACTGCTTCAGAAGGTGGCAAGAATGATGGGGTGAGTGTGTTCAAAGCGAGTGGGAGTGTTTGGAAGGATATTAATGGCACTGTGTCTTGTGCTATAACACGATTTTAAATATTTAAATATTCACCCATTTTGTTTTAATCAGACCTTATAATTAGCTTATCTTTTCTTAGGTGCCTCACTCCTGATGCAGAAGCCCGCCCAGATATTGTAGAAGTCAGTTCAGTGATATCAGATATCATGATGAAGTATTTAGACAACTTATCTACATCCCAGCTGGCCTTGGAGAAGAAACTGGACCGGGAACGGAGGCGCACACAGAGATATTTTATGGAAGCCAATAGGAATGCTGTCATGTGTCACCATGAGCTGGCTCTGCTGTCTCATGTAAGTTACAGTTCTCTCAGTCTCCTCATGATGCACTCTGATAGGCTGCCATCAATTCATTCCTACTTGTTTCACAGAAAATTAATTTATAGGTAGAAAATATTTGATACCTGAAAATTGAAGTAACCAAACATAACTGACCTTCCATAAAACAATTGCAGAATTTATTGTATATTGCAAAATTCGGAGGTGTTAAAAGTTCTCTTAGCATTTCTTCAAGTGTAAAATACTGTCTTGGTATAAACAGTAGTGAATGCTTATATTTAGTTTCTTCAGCAATCTGATTGCATCTTTTGAGAGCATGGATGAAAATGTGAGTAAATTCAGAGGAGGAGATAACATTTGCTTCTTAAAATTTTTCTTATTTGTCTTATGTAATTGCTTTCATTACAATTTGTGGTGATGATGTTGTTGCTAGTTTCAATTTTAAAAAACTTTCTTGCTAATAGCCTTCACATTATTTTGATATTTAAGCGTATCTCTGAACATAGACTAAAAAAGGGATCTGAAGTCTACAAACTTCCACATGTACAAGTGGTGGTGTCAGTGATGCTCTTGTTACTGTCTTATTTTTTTTTTTCCTCTGTGCTTATTGTAACCTTGACTTATGACCTATTACTCTTCTGGAATCCCAGCAAGGACCCAGCCCAGGGACCATCAACCTAGTAAATATTCTTTACTTCTAATCTGATGGCAGGTTCCAAAGCAATAGGTTCATAAAGCTCTTTGTTTCTTTTCTTTTTCTTCTTTTTTGGTCAGGGTAGCAGGTCATTAAATTGCTTCCCAAGATCTTAAGGATTTTCTGTACCTCAGCTCAGAAAATTATGTAACACGTTAATTTCAAAGAAGAGGTGGTTCTAATATCTTGAATAACAGCATTTCCAGTGAATTCTTTGCTAAAAAGAAGAGAAGTATTATTGTTTAGTGGGTTTGTCTGGAGGTATTTGGAAGCCGGAAGTTGAAGTTTCAGTATGATTTTCTTTTGGAGAGATAGTCTGTCATCTTCCTTGCCTTAAATGCTGAGCTTGGCTGTAATTTCTTTCTAAGGTCTTGGTTTATGTTTAGGAGCATATAATTTAGAGTTACAGCTCTTGTTGAGCACAGGGAGTTAGAGCTTGCTTTGCTTGTTATTTTACTGCCTGACTGTGTAAAAGCTAGCTAACAATACGAAACACATCATTCTATATATGTCATGTTGCTTCCAAAATACAGTAGTCAGAGTAGGCTAAAATTCAAAAGATTTAGCTATTTCTATATATCTTAAGTACATGGAGCCTTTTATTAAATTCTGCACTGCAAAGCCACTTAACCAATTTCCATTTTGATATGAAAGTCGTTTCATATCAGATTCATCTAGCAGATAGGGTGGGAGGAGCTAGTTTGAAACCTGACAGCAGAAAGCCTCTTATCTTTAGCAAAACACCTTGAGAAAGATCATTTTATATATTTATTTTTACTTAGCTCTTTTAAAAAAATCTTTATTATGGAAAATTTCAATTTTAAAGGTAAAGTATATTTCCTGTACCCATCTTCTACCTTCAACAATTAGCTATTTGGCCCTAAACCTCTATCTTTTATATCCCTATCCACTTACCACTCCCTTCCTTTTCCAGATTATTTTGAAGCAAATCCCAGAGGCCATATCATTTCATTCATCATTACCTCAGTATGTATTTAGAGTGACAATTTAATTATAGAATTCTAACTCTCAGGTCACGGCCAGGTAAAACAAAGGGAAAGTTCTTAAGTCGAGAAAGGGGCTATGAGGGTCTTCAGGTTGTACCCCCACCTGTAAATTAGGGGGGAAATATACTTATTTCAGAGGCTGCTAGGATTAAATAAGTTAATGTGTTTGAAGATATTTTGCAACTTTGAAAAATGGTGTAAAATTGCAATATAGCATCAATTACATAAAATGGAAAATTCTTATGGTAAGAGTAGTTTGTTGATGCAACTCACTGACTAATGCTAATTTGTCCAAGGAGAATTAGCATGAATTTATGTGTGTCAGTCATGCAATTAATACACATCAACCTCAAGAAATGCCCCACTAGAGCACTCAGACTTTTATGGACCATAGAGAAATGCTTGACTTCGAAGCAAAGCTTATATTACTGCTTTACAGTCATATAATACCTTTTCTTTGCACACTATTTTAAGTCTACTGATGATTTTTCCTTTCAAGATTAACCAAATATAAATTAAAAGGAAAAATGTAACTTTGTGAAAGAAGGAAGCAAGGCATGTTATTTTATTTCATCAAAAGAAAGTGTACAGTTAATTGGCATTATCCTCACTGGGTACCCATTATTATTTTTTAAAGCATCAACACCAGTGCTGCCAGAAAAATTATAGGTGTAAAACATTATCTCTTTTTCTCTTAAGCAGTATTATGATTGTTTCATTTCAAATATAGTAGCATGTTTTCCCAGTGCAGTTAACATCAATAATGCAATCACACATCCAATGATAAATCATAGTCAAAGAGAAATTAGTGGATTCAGTGAAACTTTATAAATTCCCAGCACCAATAAGGGATCTACTGTGAATTACTGAAATTTTATAGATTAGTTGGTAAGCAAACAATTGACAAGAAACACTGAAGGCTCCTCTCTCACTGAGGGAGTGTGCTATTTTCTCTCACACATTTAGCTTATTTTTAATTAATGCAATTTTATACGAGGCTACTAAAGACAAGAACAAATATCTATTTCAGAAGGACAGAGAAGTCTTTACTAATAAAGCTTGCTCCTGTGTACAGTGCCTTACCCACTGTGAAAGTGAAGCAAAACATTCCTTTGCGAAAATGTTAACCTTCTTAATTTTTTAGTTCAAAATAAGAGACCATAGGAGAGCACTAAGTTGACAATGATAAGAACTACTCAGAATAAAACAAGGAACAATTTTTACTGAAATGTCAATAATTAAAAGGGTATTGTAATACGGACAGCGTTGTGGCATTATAATAGTCAAAACCACAATCAGTGTTTTGGTGCTGTCAACCATGTGCTGAACACACTTCAGATATTATTTTATATCTGAGACAGAAAATTAGCATAGACGTGTCTGAAAGGTACACTCTTTCGATCTTCACCAGCAAATAGAAAGATAAGCATTCAAAAAATTCATGCTGGAAAAAATCTGGAGAATCAATGTAAAACTTTCAGCTTCATTCCTATTATTAGAATTTTGTGGGTACAGCTTCAAACCAATGTTTACAGAGCTGAATAATGCATATACCTATGTGTGCACGTGGAACTGAGTTGACTGTTCCAGGGAGACTGAGAGTAATCATGGCAAAAGTACGTTCTCGCAGAGTGTGATTTACAAGGATGATAGCTTCTCCTTCAACAGTATTAGACAGAAAGTTTATCCTTACTGCCTGTTCTGAAGCTGAAAGGTGGTTTCTCTCTACTCGTTTATTAAGCTCATTCATTTTGGAAACTGCTTTTACATCCATAAGCACCTGTCAGGGAGCCACACACAGAAAGGAAAATTGAAAATGCTTGCAGTCTCTAATGAATAACGAAAGAACAAGGATTCGTTGGATGTCTTCTGAATGTAAGGCATCATGTGTGGTAACCTGAGAGTTGTGAGAAATTACAGTGGTTCCAGCTGTGAAGTAGTTTATATGCTTAGAAAGACAAAAGAGATAAGTAGTTTTTGGAAGAGATGTTTAAGGAGAGAGCCAAGTTTGAGTAATTAACAGTGAGATGTGCGGAGACATTTTAGGGAGGCTCCCATAGCAAACGGAAGATCGGGGCTTGATCGTTGAATATGGAAGTCACTTATGGATGGAATAGAACAGTGAAAATTTAGAAACTCTAGATAGAGATGCTTAGCTCTTTTAGGACTAAGAATGAAACTTAGAAATAGTATTGTTGTGTGTTTTAACTTAGCAGACAAGAAGAGGAAGCCAGAAGTAAAGAAACTTGTCCATGGTTATCCAGAAAGTTAGAGCCTATCCCAGGACTGAAACTTAGGTTTGCTAACTTACAATGCATGTTTTTATCTGGATAGTTTGAAGTCTGGGGGAAAAATATTTGTGCATGGTGGAAAATTAACTACCTGCTGAGATGTTTGAAATTAATCCTGAGGATACAGTGGACTAAAATTTTGAATTCTCCAAATCACTTAACAACCAAATTTCCAAACTAAAAACTAGTTGTTGTCGATTGTCCATGTCCCCCCGTCCCACCTTTGATATTTTTTCTTCTATAATTTCACTTCTTTGTTCTGGTTTCCATCTTACCCGTCTGAATACCCTTTCTCGTTTTTTATTTAAATCCTGGACTCTTAATTTCCAACATTCTGATTTCTCCTTGCACTTTTCTTGATTAGGTCCCACGTAGCCCAATGATTTTTCATTTCATATGAATTTGGCTAAAAATCCATCACACAAAAATGTTAATTTTCTTTCAAAACTCTGTTTCTACTGATGACAGTAAATGGTAGATGTGGCCAGTTTCAGTTATGTCTATTTCTAGGCTAAAAGTTCCTTTCCCATTTTAAGGTTTCTCTTCTCTGTGTCCCCTCCTCAATATGGCAGCTAAGTGTAGGAAGAAGTTGAACCAACCTGATGTCAGTTGGGGAGGGCGGCGGTTCTCTGTGCTTCTTCCCTCCCTTCCTTGGCTTCTGGTAACCTTAGATGAAGTCAACCCATCTCTGTGGTTCTTGTGACCTCTGTTCTTGTCAAGTGTTTATGGCATCTGCCACTCAGAACCTCTTTGTGGTTTTTTTTAATGCCTGGTGGATGACCCATGATACCTTAGCTCCCACGGCCTGATTATGACTTTGTTGGTGGCATCATCAGTTTAAGAACTCCTCTCTGTGTCCTGGTGAACTTGCCAGCCAGCACCAGTGCTATTTCTCCTTTCCCCTGGGACACAAGCGCAGCTTTGGGTTCCCATCCATGTAAATACATGGCCCATTAGGATCCCACTGGGAACGGGGGCACTGTCCCAGCCCCACCAACTTGGCCACCTTCTTCATTCTTCTCT